ATACAAAGCCTATACAATTCCTAACCAAAAAAGAAAACTCGCTCAAAATTTTCGCCCAAAACCCGCCCAAAACCCCGGACACAAACCCTATACAATTTCTATAAACCCTAAACCCTAACCCTCAAGACCCGGATAAATAGAAATTGTACGTGATATGATTCTGAACTTACAAGCCCTTCCCCGAAAAAAATTCCAAAAACCATCTAAGTAAAGTGATCCAAAACGCCCTTGGCTGCAAAATAGTCGACTTACTTGACCAAGGCTTCAAAAGCCTTCAGAGGCCCAAAATTTCAACTTAAACAAGGTTTCAAAGGCCTTAAGAGGCCTCACAATTTCAACTTACAAGGGCAAGCAAAAAAAGCTTTCGCCCAAAACTTTCGCTCAAAACTCCGGACCTGAACCCCATACAATTTCTATACAAAACCCGCCCCAAACTCCGGACAGGACTATACAATGTCTACGAAAGCAAAAAAGAAAACTTGCCCAAAACTTTCGCCCAAAAATTTCACCCAAAACTCCGGACACAAACCCTATACAATTTCTATCAACCCTAAACCCTCAAGACCAGGATAAATAGAAATTGTATGCGTTTCATTTCGAGCAGCTCGTCCAATAATCCACCCCAGAAGGCCGAACCCCCAACCCCAGTCCCAGCCCCAGCAGCCCCAGCAGCCCCAGCAGCCCCAGCAGCCCCAGCAGCCCCAGCAGCCCCAGCAGCCCCAGCAGCCCCAGCAGCCCCAGCAGCCCCAGCAGCCCCAGCAGCCCCAGCCCCAGCCCTGAAATGGAATGGTACTCCTTCTTGCCAAAAGCAAAAAAGAAAACTCGCTCAAAACTTTCGCCCAAAACTTTCGCCCAACACTTTCGCCCAAAACTCCGGACACAAACCCTATACAATTCTATAAACACTTAAACCCTAAAACCCTAAACCCTAAAACCCTAAACCCAAAACCCAAAACACTAAACCTTCTGCGCATACACCAGCCTCATTGAAGAAAAGCTTCCTCGGGAGCGGGATGGGGCGAGGCTACCTGTCCTTGCTGAAGAAATCGAACCAAGACCTTGTCATGTCTCAGCTGGCGTGATGAAGCAAAGGGACCCGTAAGCAGGGATTCTGTCAACAAAAAGCGCAAGCCAAAACCATGTACGCTTTGCAAGGGGGAGTCCACACGCTCCCGAACTTGTTCCGAGTAACCCCCCCCTTCCCCTCCTCCTCACTTCTCCCCTCCCCCCGTCCCCCCGAGTGTCCAAAGTTCTAATTCCGACAAGAGCTTTGAAGTTTTCCTGACGCTACGCGCATCGTGTTCCTTCACTTGCCCACGTTGTAGGTAAGACACACCCAACCCCAAGTCTGTCTCTTTCTGTGGCGACTACAGACTCTCTAGAGAGTCGAGCCCCCTACCGCCATGCTCATGCGCAGCCCTGTGCCGAGCCTGCTCTTGCTTCTCTAGCACTCGCCTTCCTCTCTCAGCGGCCGAGTTTTCGACTGGCATTCGATGCTCTCCCGTACTTTTCCGCAGAATCCAGGGATTCGACTCAGGGAAAGCGACACCTCCACAGCAAGATTAACTGTAGTATACCAACCTCGACCCCAAACAGCGCTTGGGGAGCACTGAGTGTTTTCAGTATGTCCGGAAAAAAGTTGACCATTACAAGTAGCACAGCCACAAGAGCTCCGCTCACTTGAACGAACTCAGATATTGTCTTCCGCGGTGCGTGAATGAACATGTCGTGGCTGCTACTACAATGTAATTGTTCTGCTTCGCTATTGGGTGTTGTTGTTACTATTGTTGTTGCTGCTGCTGTTGTCGTTGGTTTTGTCATAATCCCTGTTGTCGTCGTCACCGCCGCCGCCGCCGCCGTCGCCGCCCTCGCCGCCGTCGCCGCCGTCGCCGCCGCCGTCGCCATCGCCGTCGCCGCCGCCGCCGCCGCCGTCGCCGCCGTCGGCGCGTCGTCGTCGTCGTCGTCGTCGTCGTCGTGGTTTTTTGGGTTTGTCGTGTTTGTGTGCTATTTGACTCTTCATACTCTTCGTGCTTTTCGTAGCTTTTCACTCTGTCTTCGACTTTCTGCGTCTTCCCACTTGTTGCGCTCTTCGCGCAGACTCCGCAGAAGGCTCGCTTGGCATCTTCTTGACTCTCGTCTCTACCGCATAACTCTCAGACAGAGGATTGGAAAATCCCAGCTGCGAGCTTAACAACTCCCGCCTTCAGCGGTGCTGTGTACTTGGGGGCTTGGTCGGCTCTAAAGTTCGCGCGGCCTCTGATATTGTACTATAGTATATTACATTATACAGTTTGTTTTATACACTATATCATATAGTAAGTATTGTACTGTAAAATAGAGTACATTACATGCGGTGTTTTATTGCAGTATATGATATGTATACATATACATATACATATACATATACATATACATATACATATACATATACATATACATATACATATACATATACATATACATATACATTATACATGTACACATACATAGACAGATACATATTATACATATACATGTACATACACATAGACATACATATATATATATATATGTATTTCTACGCTATCCCCCCCCTCCCCAGAACCCACCGCAAGCACAGTGTAAGGGGGCGGGGTGTTTCCCCGAAGGCTGCGATATAATAAATAAGTGCCATATCTGGCGGGCCACCCCTTTACTAGCATAACATTATATGAATATTCTACTAACATTCTACTAATATCATTGTATGTTAAACTAGTATTAAATTTTGATATATTATATCATATTATACGGTATTATTCAATTATATTGCATTATGTTATATTGCGTGATATTATGTTATCAAACGTCATGCTATGTTATATTCTGTGAAAAACTGTTATATTATGCTGTATTATGTCACGTTATGCTGTTTTATGTCATATTACGTCATATTACGTCATATTATGTTATATTATGTTATATTATGTTATATTATGTTTTATTATGTTATATTATGTTATATTATGTTATATTATGTTATACTATGTTATATTATGTTATAATATGACATACTATATGATATTCTATTATGTTGTATTATGTCATGTTGTGTTACTTATTTCATGTTACATTAAATTATTGTCCCAGTGTGTTTGGGCACGCCGCGGCTGTCGGACCAGCCTCTAAATGTCTTCGAGCCTGCAGACATACAAAAAATCGGTACCTATGCGATGTCAAGATCTACTGCGTTCGGAGGGATTAGGAACCAAGGCATACCCTTTCTCTACCGCTCGGCTCAAAGACAAGGAAAACAGCCCTAGGCCAGTCGTCACTTCATGACAGAGAAATCCTATCTAACCTGGCAGCTGATAGCTCCACCAGAAGTCTGCAGTTCCCCGGAAGCCGTAGAACATGCGGGATGTGAAGGGATCCCAAGCGGCCGCGCCCCGCTTGTTGTCAAGGTCAAAGCCTGGGTAGACGCTCGTTGACGTCTTCTCCCAGCTGCCCTGGAGGTCTGGAACGGGCCTCCAAACCCAAGCCCCGTCCTCATTTCCTCCTTGGCCGGAAGCCACCTTACACCGCATTGCTGGGCACACGTTTGGCAGGGTGTGAGTGTCATGGCACCATGAGGGCACGTCTGGTACACCTGCTATGCTCTTTTAGGCGCCGGACTATCATAGCACTGCCCGTCCAGACTGCAACATGACCCAAGCGCCCGTTTGGCAAAGCCCCGGAAGGGCCGAGCTGTTGCCACGTGTCCGTGGCGGGGCTGTAGGCATGAAGGTCGTTCAGGCCCCCAGTGATGGCTCCTCCGAACACCTCAGTCAGGCAAATCTGATGTCGGAAGTCTCCGACATTCTCTGACTGAGGCTCCAGCGAGCATGAGGTTCAGCTCAGCTGCCCACACGGCTGTGTGGGAATAGCGCACAAAGCTATTGCTACCCGGCCCATTCGCTCGTGTGGTCCATGTGCCATTGTGAGGGAAGAAGGCGAAGAGGCGTTGCTTGGGGTTGGTGCCCCCAATCCCTCCGTAAACTAACATGGCACTTTGTCCGTCGACGTTTGCTGCCACAGCCGTGTGAAGCCGGTTTCCTGGAGCGCTCGGGTTGCTGACCACGCTCACTGCTGACCACTGGTAGCCAGAAGCATTTGGCTGCAAGAGCCAGACTTCGAGATTCGAAGCTCCTCGCACGCAGTCAAGCAAAACCGGGTCAAGGAAGGCTCGAAACACTTCCTCTATAGCGGTCCTGCAAAAAGGAGACAGCCGCCATCACTCTCCGACCACACGAGCGTGTGCCGCCACCGCGGGCCTAACATGGGCAAGCAGAGACTGACTGGACTGAATCTCACATAGGAATAACAATGATAGAAAAGAAGCATCATCATCATCATCATCATCATCATCGTCCTCATCATCATCGTCAGCGGCATCATCGTCAGCATCAGCATCAGCATCATCATCATCATCATCATCATCATCATCATCATCGTCGTCCTCATCATCATCGTCAGCGGCATCATCGTCAGCATCAGCATCAGCATCATCATCATCATCATCATCGTCGTCCTCATCATCATCGTCAGCATCAGCATCATCATCATCATCATCATCATCATCATCATCATCATCATCATCATCATCATCATCATGCAGAATCTCCGCAACACAGGGCAAGAAGGCGCTTTGAGGTGGCCTGGACCGGGCAGTGAAGGCGTCACGTCCCTCCAGGAAGCATTGCTCGGCCAATACTCCCACACATCTTGCAGAACCACGTTGCCTTGCAGGGGGGGGGCAGGGGATTTGGGGGGGAGGGAAGGGGACAAAAGCTGGGCCCTCCGGGTCTTCACCGTGAGTTGAAGGGTAGCAGAGGAGAGCCATGTACCTTGTGTTCGCCCTTTTGATGTTCGCCCATACTTGAAGGGTAGCAGAGGATGGCCGTGCGCCTTATGTCTACGCTTGCCCTGTATTGAAGGACTGGCGAGGGCCCAAGGGGGGGGGGGGGGTTGGGGGCTGCAAGCTTGCAAGCTTGCTTGGTGCCTCAAGCTCCTCAGGTTAAAAATGTCCCTGGGGCCTGCATCCCTTCCTCCGAACATGAGGATCGGCGCTTCCGTCGCGAGAGCACCCGCCCGGCACATGCAGGCATTGTTTCTTGGCGGCGGCAAGCCCGGACTCGATGAAAGATCGGTCCAAACGGCCTCAAGCGACGCAAACTAAGGGGCCTCTTGTCACTCGAAGCGCGGGAAAAAAGTGGTAACTACCCAGGATCTGCGAGGAGTTCTGCCATCCCCACAGCATGACAATACTCCAGTTGCTGGCCATAGGCGTGCAGTCTTGCAATCCTTCGTGGAGCGTGCGCCGAAAAGCCACCAAATGCGGCCAAGGAACAGGTGGCGCGGTCGTCGTGGTGGTCGTGGTGGTGGTGGTGGTGGTGGTGGTGGTGGTGGTGGCGGTGGTGGTGGTCGCGGTGGTCGTGGTGGTGGTGGTGGTGGTGGTGGTGGTGGTGGTGGTGGTGGTGGTGGTGGTGGTCGTGGTGGTCGTGCTCGTCGTGGCCGTCGTTGTCGTCGTGGTCGTCGTGGTCGTCGCGGTCGTGGCGGTGGTGGTGGTGGTGGTGGTGGTGGTGGTGGTGGTGGTGGTGGTGGCGGTGGTGGCGGTGGTGGGGGTGGTGGTGGTGGTGGTCGTCGTCGTCGTCCTCGTCGGTGTCGTCATTGGTGTTGACGTTGTTGTCGTCGATGGTGTTGAAATTGCAGCCTCTACAGGCTCCGGCGCCAATACCTGAATCTGGACGCTGCAGGGTATGCTTGCTATTGCGGAACCAGCCACAACTGGCTGTCTTCCCTAGATATGCCTAGATGTGAGGCACCTGCTCTTTCCTCAACTGCAATATCTTATCTTATGTTGTAATATGTGATATTATATTGTATTACCTTATACTATGTTATGTTATGTTACATTATATTAACTCAACGACTTCGGTCCCTTGGCCTCGTAAGCCCAGAACTTCCCTGTTGGCTCGGCAAACTTGGTCAAGAACATCTTGCCCTCGTAAGGATCGTAGATCGCTGCGTCGACCTTGTTGGGATTTCGGGTTTTGGCTCAACGATACGCAGAGCGACGCTTCTGAATTGCTAATGTTGCTACTGTAACGTCAGTTCTCGAACCGACTGCACCGACCTCGTCGTCCAGGCCACGTGCCGGACTGGGCATCCTCGCATCTGCATACCTCGGCTGAGCAAGCGCTGATCCCCCCTTCCTGACGCCAAAACAGTGTTTGTACACTGGGTGCCGTCTTCTGCGCACACGAGATATATCCGCCGACCCCAGCCGGGGGCGGCGTCAGTGAAGACCCACTGCGTGTTAGACCTTCCACCTCATCTATGACAGGCTTGCCGCTCCCACCCCCACCCCCCACCCCCACCCACCCCGCCATTCCCCATGGTCCCATGGCCCCAGCCTTCTACCATAGGCCTTAAGCTGAGTGCTCCAGTTCGCACTTGCTCCACTTCCCCCCCCATGACCCTCTGGCCCCATGGCTTCATGGCCCCAGCGCCCCAGGGCCCTACCCCCATGGTTCCATGGCACTATAAGGGCTCCAGTGCGTGCCCGCTTCCTCCACTCCCCCTGACCGCTCCCCATGGCCCTCTGGCCCCATGGCTTCATGGCCCCAGCGGCCCAGGCCCACCCCCAGGTCCATGGCCCTCTGGCCCCACGGCTTCATGGCCCCCGCAGCCTGGCTCCAGCCTTCTATCAAAAACGCTTCCTCCACTGCGCCCGACCACTCTTTCATGCCCTCTGCGGCCCAGCCCTGACACGCGCATGGTCCAGGGCCCTACCCCCATGGTCCCATGGCTGGCCCCATGTCCCCAGCGCTTCAGGGCCCTACCCCCATGGTCCCATCCCTACCCCATGGTCCCATCCTCAGCCTTCTTACCAGGCTCCAATGCATGTTCGGCACCCGCCCTCTCCGCCCTGGCTATGGCTTCATGGCCCCAACAGCCCAGGCCTGTCCCATGGCCCCAGCCCCCACCGGCCCAGGGCCTACCCCCAGGTCCATGGCCCCAGCCTTCACCAGCCTTCACCATACCCCAGTTGCTCCACCCGCCCCCACCCCACCCCCTCACGGACAAGGCAGTGATTTAAAGGGTTCCAGCCCGCCCTCCCTGTGCCCCATGCCCTTGATGCTAATTCTTGGGCTCCAGTGCATGCCCGCCTCCGTTTTCCCCCGCCCGCTCCGCCCCCCCCCCCCCCCCCCCCCCCCCCACCCCCCCCCCCACCCCCCCCACCCCCCCCCCCCCCCCCCCCCCCCCCCCCCCCCCCCCACCCCCCCACCCCCCACCCCCCACCCCCCCCCACCCCCCCCCCCACCCCCACCCCCCCACACCCCCACCCCCGTTCTGCATGTTCGGCACCCGCTTATGGGCCAGGCCCAGCATACCCAGCCTTCTGCCAGTTGCTCCACCCGCCCCCACCCCAACCCCTCACGGACAAGGCAATGATTTAAGGGTTCCAGAACATTGATGCTAATTCTGAAGGGCTCCAGTCACCCCCCCCCACCCCCCCCCCCCCACCCCCCCCCACCACCCCCCCCCACCCCCCCCCCACCCCGCTCAGTGCCCCTGCTGGCCCTCTGACCCCATGGCTCATGCGGCCCACTTCCATGGTTGAGTTGACAGTTTCCGCCCGACCGCCCCCATGGCCGATGGCTTCACGGCCCCCAGCGGCCCGTGTCCCAGTCTCTCCGCCCACTCCGGCCGGTCGCCGTAGCTGGCTTCATGGCCCCAGCGCCCTCCCGCGCTCTCCGCCCACTGCGACCGCTCCCATGGCCCTCTGGCCCCATGGCTTCGAACATGGCCCCAGCACCCAGACCCTCCGCTCCCCTGGCCCGCTTTCATTGCTTCCTCCACTCCCCTCGACCGCTCTGCATGGCCCTCTGGTCCATAACCCCAGCGGCCCAGGGCCTACGCCAGGTCCATGGCCCCAGCCTTCACCATGCCCAAGCTGACACCTCCATGACATCTACAAACCCCATGACTTCATGGGCCCAGCGAGTTTTAAGCGCTTCCTCCACTTCCCCCCGACCGCTCCCCATGAGCGGCCCAGGGCCTACCCCCCCCCCCCAGGTCCATGGCCCCAGCCTTCACCATACCCAAGCTGAGTTTTGGGGCTCACCCCCCATGGTCCCATGCCCGCCCTCTCCGCCCACTCCCCATGGCTGGCCCCATGGCTTCATGGCCCCAGCGCCCCGGGGCCCTACCCCCATGGTCCCATGGTTCAGCCTTCTACCATAGGCCCCAAGCTGAGTTTGAAGGGCTCCAGTGCCATTTTCCTCCACTCCCCCCGCCCTCTCTGCCCACTCCGACTGCTACCCATGGCCCTCTGGCCCCATGGCTTCATGGCCCCAGCGGCCCCAGGCCCTAAGCTATGGCCCTCTGGCCCACGGCTGGGGGCTCACCCATGGTTCAGCCTTCGGCCCCAGCGGCGCAGGGCCTACCCCCAGGTCCAGCCCCGGCCTTCACCATACCCAAGCTAAGTTTTAGGGCTCATTCTTATTCGAACATGGCCCGCCTTCTGCCAGAGACCCTAAGTTGCTCCACCCCGCCGCCCCAGCACCCCTTCAGGGCCCTACCCCCATGGTCCCATGGCCCAGCCTTCTCCCATCGGCCCTAGCTGAGTTTAAAGGGGTCCAGTGCATGCTCCAAGGGCATGCCCGCTTCCTCCACTCCCCCCGCCCTCTCCGCCCACTCCCACTGCTCCCCATGGCCCTCTGGCCCCAGCGGCCCTGGGCCCTAAGCTGAGTTTTAAGGGCTCCAGCGCATTCCCGCTTCCTCCACTCCCCTGCCCCATGGCTACTCCCATGGTCTTCTGCCATAGGCCCTAAGTTGTTCATGGCCCCAGCGCCCCAGGGCCCTACCCCCAGGGTCCCATGGCCCCAGCCTTCTACCATAGGCCCTAAGCTGAATTTTCAGGGCTCCAGTGCATGCCCGCTTCCTCCACTCCCCCCGCCCTCTCCGCCCTCTCCGACCCCATGGCTTCATGGCCCCAGCGGCCCAGGGCCCTACCCCCATGGTCCTTCTACCATTGAACTGAGTTTTAAGGGCTCCAGTGCATGCCAGCTTCCTCCACTCCCCCCGACCGCTCCGCCCTCTGCCCCATGGCTTCATGGCCCCAGCGGCCCAGGGCCTTCCCCCATGGCGCCAAGGGCTCCAGTGCACGCCCGCTTCCTCCACTCCCCCCGCCCTCTCCGCCCACTCCGACCGCTCCCCATCATGGCCCTGGCCCCATGCTTCATGGTTTCAGCGGCCCTAGGTAAGCTGATTTTTAAGCCGGGACCGCTCCCCCCCGCAATCCCCCGCCCCACCCGCCCATATGCCCCCCCCTCCACCTGCCTTCCGCCCCCCCACCCACACACCCCCCACCCCCCCCACCCCACCCCCCCACCCCCCACCCCCCCTCCTGTCGGGGTTGAGCCGGACAGAGCGTGCTTCAATTCTTAGGATGGGGTCGGCGGCATTGGCGGTAGCCATTAAATCGGGCAGCGCGAGGTCCCCAAAGGACCGAGCAAATGCGGACCTTTTAGCCCGGGTCGTCCCGGGAATAGCCTTGCTGGCCTCTGGCCTTCTGCGAAGCAGAATTAGGCCGGACGCCAGTGCCGCCGACCCCCGCGTGCCGCCGGTGAACGGTTTTTTTTGCGTGGTTTTTTGCGTCGCCACGGAGGCCCCCAGGGGGCGCGCATCATGAGCATCAGCGGGTCCAGCCCGGGACCCCCAGGCGCGCATCAGGAGCATCAGCGGCTCGCGGGGCGGGACCCCGGGGGCGCATCAGGAGCATGATGCCCCCCAAAGGGCGGGCATAAGCGACGTGTCTCAGCCCGGGGCTAGGAAAAAGGGAGTTTAGGGGCCTTATAAAGTGCTTAGAAACTTTAAGGGAGTCTAGGAGCCTCAAACGCTTAGAGATTTGAAGGGAGTTTAGGGGCCTGAAAATGCTTGGAAACTTTGAGGGGGTTGAGGAGCCTCAAACGCTTAGAGATTTTAAGGGAGTTTAGGGGCCTCAAAATGCTTAGAAACTGCTCGCCCCGCGCTTCTGCCTGCGCTGCCCGCCCATGGGCGCAGCCCCTTAAAATTATATGAGATTATATTATATTGTTCTATACTCTACTATTTTAGTTTATGTCGTATTCTGTTAAAAATTGATAGTTTGTTAAAAACTGATAGTTTGTTAAGTAAAGAAAATGAAAAATATACTATTTTATCAGCCTTTCAGCAGCTAAAGCTCCATATGAGTCAGGGAGCCATGTTCCATTTGCTCCGTCTGGAACCCAGTACCAAATCGCAGTTGCCACATTCTCCTCCGAACTGCTGCCGCCGAAAGCCTTGGCATAAGGCTAAGGCCGGAAAATGAATATGTGGGTGTGTATATATATATATAATATACACGTTCTATATGTGATCTTATGGAATTTCTGCGGGTGTACAGTAAGGGAAACCATCCACCGAACCCTCCCAGCAGCCGCACAGCAACCTGTATCAACCTCTTGCCGACTCTTGCCGCTCAGGGACACCACTGCTCTCAGAGAACATCGGAACACAGCATGGCTCAACAGCAGGGCTAATGATGAAAAAACAGAATATGCGAAATTCTGTTATATTGAAGTACAATACTACACTATGTTAAGTTTTTTTATATCGTATTAAATTACATGATAATATTTTGCATTAAAAGCTAAAAAAGGTAATATAGTACGATAAGATAAGGTAATAACAGAGATGGCGAGGGGCCAACATCTGTCCGTCAGCCCAGACAGCCACTCCAAGCCATGTCGGTGGCGGCCGAAACTCTGTCACGAGCTCCTGCCAGCTGTTGCCGTCGGGGGTAAAGACCCAAAGGTCATCTAGGATCATGGCATCGCTGTGGCCACCGTGGACCTCAGGCTCCCCCAGTCATGGAGTCAAAAATCGCCAAGTCCAAAAGCCCCGTTTGCTCTGAGCCCCTGGCAAACATTTGGCCCAAATCTGCTGCCCACACCGCCGTGTGGCCTTCACGCGGAGAGGGGCCGTTGATCGTCGAACGCAGCGTCCAGGTTTTCGTGCCAAGATTGAGGACGTGCAAGTCGTTTGCTAGGCCGGAAACAGTCCTCCCGGCCCAAACGATCCTTGGCTGGCGGCAAGAAGATAGGAGCTGAGGATCCTGAAAAACTCAGCCTAGGTTTTGGGTTTCGGGTTTGGGGTAATCAACAACAGGAAAAGGGTCATCACCTCCTCCCCGGAGGCATTGCCAGCCACTGTGGTGTGGTAGTATCGTTTCTCCGGAGGTGTGCCCGAGGTATTGACGCGTAGCCACTCGAACTTTGTGACGTTCTCCAACTCACGCAGCAACCACAAGTCATTCGGCGCGAAGCCATCCGGCAGGTACTTGACTTGTCCTGACCAGAACTGCTCTCATTTGCTCACACGACCATAAGACTCGCCATCTTCAGACTCAGTGCTCCCCTAAATTATATTCGATTATGTGGTATTGTATTATATGACATTCTTCTGTTACATTCTTTATCCCGTTAGACTCCAGACTCCGAGCTCCCCTCATCCCCTCCCCTGCAGCGCATCCCGGCCCTCCTCCGAAGACGAGGAAGCCCGCATCGGGGGCCGACCAAATCATGCCAGCAAGCTGCCTCGCACCTCTTAGAAGGAGGGTTTTCCCCCAAACAGTTGTACTGTTGGGGTCCTAAATTCGTTTGAGGAATTGCCGGCATTCTGGCAAGTGTTGCTGGGTTCCGTCTCCCTTTGTCTCCCCTTGTCTCCCTTCCTGTGGGTGGCCTTTGCCGAGTTCCTGGCCGTTTTGTGTTGCCGGGTTCCTGGGCGTCTTGTCTCCGTTTGTTTCCCCTTGTCTCTGTCTCCCCTTGTCTCCCTTCATGTGGGTGGCTTTGCCGTGTTCCTGGGCGTCTTGTCTTTGTCCCCCTTTGTCTCCCCCCCGTCTCCCTGCATGTGGGTGGTCTTTGCCGGGCTCCTGGGCATCTTGTCTCCCTTGTCTCCCGGCCCCTGGTCTCCCTTCATGTGGGTGGCTTCTCCCCTTGTCTCCCTTCATGGTTGGCTTTTGCCGTGTTGCTGAGAGTCTTGTCTCCTTTTGTCTTCCCTTGTCTCCCTTCAAGTGGGTGGCCTCTGCCGGGTTCCTGTACGTCTTGTTTCCCTTTGTTTCCCTTTGTGTCCCCTTGTCTCCCTTCATGTGGGTGGCCTTTGCCGGGTCCTGGGCATCTTCTCCCTTTGTCTCCCCCTTGTCTCCCTTCATGCAGGTGGCCTTTGCCGCGTTCCTGGGCATCTTGTCTGCCTTTGTCTCTCCTTGTCTCCCGCCATGTGGGTAGTCTTTGCCGGGTTTCTGGGCGTCTTGTTTCCCCTTGTCTCCCCTTGTCTCCCTTCATGCGGGTGGCCTTTGCCGGGTTCCTGGGCGTCTTGTCTCCTTTGTCTCCCCTCATGCGGGTGGACTTTGCCGTTTTCCTGAGCGTCCTCTTGTTTCCCTGTCTCCCTTCGTCTCCCCGTTCTCCCTTTGTCTCCCTTTGTCTCCCTTCATGCGGGTGGCCTTTGAAGTGTTCCTGGGCGTCTTGTTTCCCTTTGTCTCCGTTTGTCGCCCGGTCGCCTTGTCTACCTGAGTCTACCTTTGTCTCCCCTTGTTTCTGCTCGTCTCCCTTCGTGTGGGTGGCCTTTGCTGTGTTCCTGCGTCTTGTCTTCCGTCTCCCGTTTGTGAGCTGTCTGCAGTGCAAAGCATGGCAGCATTGAGCATTGCAGCATGTGCAGCAGTGTGCTGGTACGCAGAGTAGGTTCACTTTGCATATTTCAACGCCAATGCTTTGACTTGTGCCTTTGCGCGCGTAGTTCTGTAGCAGTAGCTTGTAGGTCGCTGCCTTGCGGTCCGACCGGACGCGGGCGCCATAGGTCACCGAAAGAGCGTGGACCCGCGAAGTCACAAAAACAGCGTGACCGCCTGCGTTTGCTTCGGTGTGTTGCAAGACCAGGTTGGTCGACTTCACAATTGGGGGCTGTTGGGCTGTTCTGGGAAGTGTTCAGCTCTTTCCTACGGCCCGGCGTTGGGCAAGCACTTGCTTGTCCGCCGCGGTCCGTGTCCAGGACGCGTGGACTGTGATCCACGCTTGCGGCCCGATATCCAAGGCGCGGCGTGCTGCCGTGCGTTGCAGCAATGTCACTTCAGGTATCCCTCCTCCAGAAGGGCGATGTGCCCTATCCAGCACGTATGAGCTACGTTGCGTGGCTTAAGTCAGCCGGCCATTGTCCAGGCGCGACGGCGTGCTGCGGCGGACTACAACCTGCTGGGCGCTGCGTTCCGTCCAGGAGCTTGGTCTGAGGGGCGCAGAGGAGTTGTGCACCGCTGCTGTAGAAAGCTTTCCTGCTTCCGCCGCGGGTGCAGACAGCGCCGCGGCTACTGTTCAGCCTTCTCCGGCTGTGCCTCTTCCGGATGTCCGTTCAGGACCTTTCGCCAGCGGAACAGAGCAAGTTAGAAAAGGAGGTTGAGGAGCACGCCGCGCAGAAAGAAGCATTCTGGAAGCCTAGAGCAGACGCCAAAGATTGGGATGCTGTCCGGGCTGACCTTATGAGGACGGACCCCAGGCGGACTGAGGCCTACAGGGAACTCGTGTGGGCAGGCCTGAAGATTGAGTCTGGCCCGACCTGGGCTCACTGCTGACATTGAAGCCATCAAGGAGGTCGTGAGGCGCAAGGCCGCGGGGTTCTGGGCAGAGGACACCACTAGGACCACGGTGAGAAAGTTCGCTCACGATTGCATCCCTAGCGGGCCGCCGTTTTCATCCCACTTGTTGCGGGGTGAATCCGCTCAATGGTCGATGACAAGCTCGAAGAAGAGCGCAAGCGGGGTCAGTTGATCCGCGGCAGCTCGGCATGGGGCTCTGCTCCGTTTCCTACTAAAGAGATGCCTATAGTTACAAGCGGCGTAGGAAGCGCCGCTCAAAAGTTTGAATCTAGACCGAGTTTCGAAGACTGAAGCCGAATCCCCGAACCCAAAGCAAACACGGCAGGACCGGGCCTGGAGTTCGAAAGTTTCAGGGGGTTCGAAGTCGGAGTTTGAGCGCCTCCGGAGTTCGAGAGTTTCAGAGATTGAGAGTTTGAAGGTACTAGAGATTGAGAGTTTGACAAGTCCAGAAAGTTCGGAGTTTGAAGTTTGAAGATACTACGAATTTGACAGTTCGAAGTCTGAAACTTTGAAGTTTGACGACACTCGAACACGAAAAGTTTGATACTTTCATAAATCTCGCGACTCGCGCTTTGAAAGCTCGAACGCCTCGAGTTTGAAAGTTTGACAGCACGTTCAGACCACATAGGGCTTGGGGTTGTCGCCAAAAGGCCTGGTGCGTTCTGGGGGTAGACCCCTGAACCCTAAACCCCCAGAATGCACCCATGAGGGTTTAGTTAAGGACAACTTCAGGCACCCTCCCAGGTTTAGGGTTTGGGCGTAGAGCGGGGCACCAAAGGTTATGCATGGGCAAGGTTTAGGCTAGCACCCGGAATCCTGAGTCAATCCCAAGCCCGTGTATTCAAGCAACCGCCCTGGACTAACCCTCTTACCCCTACCCCATCTCCCTGCCTCCCGCCCCTTACTAAGAAGCAAAAACAAAAAACGAGGGGGGGGAGGATTTTAGAATAATTTTCTCGACCATCACTTCTCGCACACGAAGGACAAAACACACGGAACAAAAACAAGAAACGAGGGGGGTGGAATTTACAATTATTCTCTCGAACACCACTTCTCCTTCGACTTCGTTCAAACAGAAAAACATAAACAAGTCGGTGGAATTTACCATAGCCATCAACCCTGAGCCCTCCAACCCTAAGCCCTCCAACCCTAGCCCTCCAACCCTAAGCCCTCCCTCCAACCCTCCTGGGTTGGAGGGTTGGAGGGCTGGAGGGGAGCCTTGCAGGGTTGGAGGGTTGGAGGGTTGGAGCCTTGCTGGTTGGAGGGTGAGCATTGCAGGCTTAGGGTTGGAGGGCCTTAGGGTTGGGGGGGCTTAGGGTTGGTTAAGGTTGTAGGGGGGTTGGAGGGGGCTTAGTTGGAGGGCCTTAGGGTTGGAGGGGGCTTAGGGCTGGCGGGCCTTAAGCCCGGAGAGGCCTTGGCACCCTCCACTTCCCCCCAATCACACTACCTCCGATTGGATTTGTGGCTGGCCGCCCTCCAAATTTCAAGCTGTCACCGTCACCGTACTCTAAGAGTGAAACCCCCAAAAGCAAACAAGAAACGAGGGGAGTGCAATTTAGAATAATTCTCTCGAGCACCACTTCTCCTGCGATTCCGAAACGAAACAGAGAAACAAAAACAAGGGGTGGAATTTATAATAATTCTCTCCGTCATCACTTCTCCTACTCGAAGCATGAAACACAAGAAGCAAATCAAGAAACGAGGGTGGAATTTAGAATAATTCTCCCGACCATCACTTCTCCTACTCGACACGCACGTGACGTTTCAAAAATTCAACCTCTCAAACTTTCGAACTCCAAACGGGGTTTAGGGTTTGGGTTTTTAGCAGACACTACGCGCGCGTGACGTTTCAAATGTTCAACCTCTCAAACGTTCGAACTCCACCTCACAGCGTCCAAGAAGAAAACCGAAGCCCTCCACACTAGAACATACCGCCGCAGCGAGCAGGGCGTCACAGATGTCGCCGGGCATGGATGCTCTGGTTACGCACATGGCAAAACAAAAGCGAGCATCATGAACACAAACGCTGCCGCGAGCCAGACGTTTTTTTGCGCCGAAAACGACTAAAATTCCTTCCGCCCTAGGCAGGTTCGGAAAAAGCATGGTGGCATCTCAGCGATCGACCTACGTGGCCGCGTGTCCTCTCCCGGAGGCCAAAACACTGTAAAACACGATGTATTCGGCATGTGCGACATGGCATGGACGCTATCATCCCCCCCCCCCCCCCCCCCCCACCAACACCAGAAGAGCCAAAAACTCACCGAAACTAACGCGCCTGCGGCGCTTTGCACTACTACTATAGACTACTATTACTACTACTACTACTACTACTACTGCTACTACTACTACTGCTACTACTACTGCTACTGCTACTGCTACTGCTACTACTGCTACTACTGCTACTACTGCTACTGCTACTGCTACTGCGACTGCTACTACTACTACTACTACTACTACTACTACTACTACTACTACTACTACTACTACTACTACTACTACTACTACTACTACTATTCATTCCAATCGCAGCCGGTCTCTCAGCTTAGCGTCAGGTACGTGGCAGCGCATTGCACCGGTGCTTCAAGAGCACTAGAACCACATGGGCAAGTCCCGCTACGAATAGCTGCAAACTTGCGGCCTACTCAACTTGTCAAGAGAATGGTGCACCAGTGCACCCTTCACTCGATCAAAAGAGTGCAAATCAGATAAGTAGAAAGCGAAAACGTAAAACATGAAAACAGGTCGTAGAGCTATCAACATCGCTACAGCCATCTGTTATGGCATCTTGCATTCATCATGGTGTTTCTCTGTACAAAGTGCAGTCCTGAGAACTGCAGTGGCCCCAGGAGGGCACACTGAGGACCACGCACAGCACCCTGTAGTCCTATGAACTGCAAGTGGCCCCAAGAGGGCGCACTGAGGACCACGTTCAGCACCCTGTAGTCCTGTGAACTGCAAGTGG